TATGTTATATTATTAGTGACTACAATATAGAAAAATATTCCAGAACTGAAAAAACCTGTTGAGATTAAACACTATACAAATAGACTTCATTTACAAAATATTTTATAATAGTAAAACCAATTGCATACTAAGTATCCAAGGACGGTCGGTCTCAGCTGAGCCGTGCTGACATCTGTTGACTACATCATGTGTATTGTTAAGTGTGCAATCAACTGCGACTTCATTTATCTATGACATATCATTATATCGATTTATATTATTATTTTGTGTCTATTGTTTTTTAAAAAGCATATTACATGTTTATGTTTATGGTTAAATAAAATGAATAAAAATGTTTCTTCAAAGATGTGTTTTTTTTGTGTGGGATATGATTTGATTGATATAATTTATCAGATTTAATTTATCTGATCAAAAGACACTTCAAATGTAAAATGTTTTATTAAAATTAATACACACAAATATTGAAATGAGTACACGCACACACACACACATATATATGTGTGTGTGTGTGTGTGTGTGTGTGTGAAATGGTGATGAAATGGGCTGCACAACTCCTGATGCTGTGGGAGCAGGTGTGATGGGGCACTTCCTGGTGGCAGCAGCGGGCTGTTGACCGGGTTGCAGAAGAGGAGCCTGTCCTCGAATTGGCGGAAGGATAAATTGATGTTTTGGGCCTGATGTCGATGGCGCTTCATCCAGTTTTTCCCTCAGCGGAGGAAGCTGTGTATCATCCACAGCAATTGGGTCAGGTGGAGTCAGTCCCTGAGCGAGGACACTCATTTCCTGATACTTCTGCCGCTGTTGAAACCTGAAAATAAATTACTTGTATTATATATATGTTCAGAAGTATTCAGTTAATTTGAAGCAAATAATATGCCTTGCTTACCACTGAATGAGTGTCCTCTGGTTTAGCTCAAACAGCTGGATCACTGTTTCATCCATCAACCTGCGACTGTTAAGTGCCAGCTCTCGGAAGTGGTGGTATCCGAGAGGATTTTAGACCACTTGGGGGTGCAAACACCAGCCTTCAGTCGGCGACTTGTGTAAAGCACACAGCTTCATACAAATGGCCTCAACCAAGCGGCTGGTGCTGGGCCACTGTGTTGGACCCCCAGGATGTTCAATCAGACACCGTTTCACACTCTCCACACCCGGTGTGACTCCGGACCGCTTCGGTTCCTTAAAGCGCCCATGCGTCAGCTGAGGCTGATGTCGAGGCTGATAGTTGACCCGCTGTTTATCAATATCAGGTGAGCTGTCCACAGCTGGATGGCCTCTGTCACCTGCAGGTCAGTGAGGTAAGGAGCCTCACGAAGACCCACCAGGTAACCAACCAGATCCTGGACCTTGTCCCACCCAGCGATGCCTTCGGGTTCAATGACTGCTCCCTAGTAAATGCAGATTAATGTTAATATATGTGGAATAAAACGAGATTGAAATTAAATAAAGCCCTTACCTATTGACAGCAATATAGCTTAATTAGTGGATGATTTTAATTTATCTGATCAGGAGCGACATGTTTTGTTCTGTATTTATCATGGGAAAAGTTACAGGTTCCCAGGTAGGCTACTGAAGAATACGTGTACATGCTAGCTAGCTATATTGGCACGTTTCATTTTCCAAAAATACACACTATATATGAACAAATAATGACCGATATTCAATAATGAAGTAAACCATAGCCTTATCTATTGCAAAGATGACAATAATAGCGGCCGGCGATTGGTCAAAAGTAAGCCACAGGAGAGAAACGCGATTGGCTCGTGGGCTTACTTTGGGCTTACTTTCTTTGGCTCGATCGGTGGGAAGCGGTAGCGGGATCGATGCCCGCATCCTCCAATGTTTTCATCTT